ATAACTTTAAACAGTAAGCAAATGCTAGATGAGAACAAGCTCTGATCTGAAGGTCATGCCAAAATGAATCTTTGCTATTTTGCCAAAGGCATTAAATAATGAGAATGTCTGCAGGTAATATCTAAACTAGAAAGCCGGATACTCTCCAACATGCAGTATAAACAGGAGCATCCCAGCACAACAATCAGAATCAGACATTTCTCCAAATCTGCCCTTTAAACATAAACTATGCTGTTCTGCCCTAAATGAAGCATCAAAATTTCACAAACTTCCAGTTGAATCAAAATGTGGTGACAACTATACACACATTACAAATATTGAAAGAATTTCAGCTGCTTCAAAAATAAAAGGTCCGCTTTCCAAGAGAAGCAAAACTTTAAGAAATTATAATTACATAAGAAACAAGTAAAACAACTTTTATAGGAGAAATATTCATTTTTTTCTTCTTCTTTATTTGAACGGTAGAATTACAGAAAGAAATCTTCCACCTAAAGGTTTGTTCCCCCAAACAGCCTACATGGCCAGGTCAGGGCTGGGCTAGAGCCAGGAACCAGGAGCTTATCCAGATCTCCTATGCAGGGACCCAAGAACTTGGCCTATGTGTTGTTGTCTTCATAGGCACATTAGCAGAGAGCTGGATCAGAACTGGATCAACCAGGACTTGAACCCAGTGCATGTATGGGATGCCAGTAACAGCATCGCATGCAGTGGCTTAATGTGCTGTGCCACAAAGCGAACTACCAGGACAAATAACAAATCATAATAAAAACCTTTTGGGCCCGGAAACATGGCCTAGCAGCTAAAGTCCTTGCCTTGAACACGCCAGGATCCCATATGGGCACCGGTTCTAATCCCAGCAGCCCACTTCCCATCCAGCTCCCTGCCTGTGGCCTGGGAAAGCAGTCAAGGACGGCCCAAAGCCTTGGGACACTGCACCCATGTGGGAGACCTGGAAGAAGTTCCTGGATTCTGGCTTTGGAATGGCATAGCATCGGCCGTTGCGGTCAGTTGGGGAGGGAATCATCGAACTGAAGATCTTTCTCTCTTTCTCTCCTCTCTGTATATCTGACTTTCCAATGAAAATAAATAAATCTTTAAAAAAAAAACACTTTTGGGCCCGGCGCGGTGGCGCAGTGGTTAGGGTCCTCGCCTTGCAAGCCCGGGATCCCATATGGGCGCCGGTTCTATCCCGGCAGCCCTGCTTCCCTTCCAGCTCCCTGCCTGTGGCCCGGGAAAGCAGTCGAGGACGGCCCAAAGCTTTGGGACCCTGCACCCGTGTGGGAGACCCGGAAGAGGCTCCTGGCTTCAGATCGGCATAGCATCGGCCGTTGTGCTCACTTGGGGAGTGAATCATTGGACGGAAGATCTTCCTCTCTGTCTCTCCTCTCTGTATATCCGCCTTTCTAACAAAAAAATAATAAAAATAAATCTTTAAAAAAAAAAACAACACTTTTGAGGTTACTGTTTTTTTTTTTTTTGAGGTTACTTTAAAAGACAATTGATATTGATGTCCCAGTGCATAAGCCTAATGGCTCCTTGCCTTGCACGCACCAGGATCCCATAAGGGCACTGGTTCGTATCAAGGGACCCCACTTCCCATCCAGCTCCCTGCATGTGGACCGGGAATGCAGTCGAGGATGGCCCAAAGTCTTGGGACCCTGCACCGGAATGGGAGACCCAGAAGAAGGTCTTGGCTCCTGGCTTTGGATTGGCTGAGCTCCAGCCGTTGTGGCCACTTGAGGAGTTAATCATTGGACGGAAGATCTTTCTCTCTGTCTCTCCTCCTCTCTGTATATCTGACTTTCCAATAAAAAAAAATGAATAAATATTTTTTTAAAAATAAGGCAGCTGAATGCAACAAACAGAAAATGGGCCCATACCTCAATTAAAATGATGACACTAAATATAGCTATAACTACTTCTGCTTATTCACAACCTGGCAGAGAATCACATGACTGACAGCAGGCGGAAGATGCCATGGAGAGTTAGCTCGGCTGCAGCTTCAGAGATATTAAAATAGGAAACCATACATTCCACTTTGGAAATATATGAACTCCAGGTGCAAACAACTGCCTAGGCTGCCTTGTACCTAGGCAAGTGTTACACTGCTGAGAGAAAAGCAGCCAATAGCTGGACGGCATTCTGGGCCTGGTTAACGCCAACTCTGTTAACTACACTGGAGTGTCAGCATAGTTGCCAACATATTTTTTTTTAAGATATTTGGGGAAGCTGGAGGAAACCAGGCTGGGGCATGTCACCCCAGTCCCCAGGCAGGGGGTTTGCGGATTGCTTGAGGAAGAGCATCTGGGGTCGTGTTGGAGTGGGAATCACTGAGGGCATGTTTCAAGAAGAGGGATGACTTCTGGGGGCTTCCACAGACGGGCGATTGTATTCACAAACGGACAAGGGAGCTGTGATGGGTGATAGAGAGGAAACTGGAGGGAGAGGAAACTGGAGGGTGTTTCTGTGTCAGGTCAAAGTACCTGCCCATGTGAAAGACCTGGCCAGGGCTAAATAACATCGCCCACTGCGCACTGGTGCATGCACAAGCTGGGGGCGGGAGGCAGGTCTGGCTGGGCTAGGCCACAGTACTCCCCTGCACAGGGAGCTCAGCACCAGTCAGGCTGGGCTCGGCACCTGCCAGAACACGAGCAGATATGTGATCTGACCTTGGAGCGCAGGTACAGGGACAGGCCTCTCAATCACTGAATGCCTATTCAGTGGACAGCACACCCAGATGAGCAAGCTTATCCAGGCCAGCAGAGGATGTCAAGTGCCTGTCAGAGGATGGAAAGCAGAACAGGATAGACAATTCCATGTTCCTGGTCCTGTGCATGCACTGGGGGGGACTTAGTCAGTCAATAGATCTTGGAAGGATTTTCTCAATCTTAGTGCAACAAAGTTGACAATGTCTCAGCACCATTAAAACCACCCAAGTAGTACACTTAGAACACTCCTCCCCGTATCAGGGTGTCTAAGGCATCATCAAATGGCAGTCCCCCATTTCTGGATAATGATGTTATTTTGACAGCGAGGAGCAGTCCTACCCCCATCCTTCCCCCATACACAGCAGGAAACCAAACAAACAAAAAGCTGAAATATTTCTCTCGCTCCCCTTCCTCCATCCCTTGAGCCCCCCAGCCTATTCAGAGACCCACATGGGCATGTATCCCTCTCGACTATGTAAATAATATATAAAGTTAAAGAAAGACAATATATGAAAATAGAATTAAAACATAAATGCATTTTGGTACAAAAATGTTTGGGAGTCAGGGCTGGTATTCGCTGCCTGCAATGCCAGTAACGCCTAAGAGCATTGGTCCAAGCCCCTGCTGTTCCACTTCTGATCCACTTACCTGCAAATGTAACTAGGAAAGTAGCAGAAGATGGCCCACGTGTTTAGACCCCTACCAACCAGGACTGAGACTCGGGTGGTACTCCAGGCTTCTCTCTCTGCCTGGCCCAGACCAGCCCCACTGGGAGTGAATCAGCAGGTAGAAGATCTCTCCTTCTGCATGTCTTTACCTCTCTGTCAATAATTCTCTTTCAAATAAATAATAAATCTTCAAAAAAATTTTTCTTGAAATGCATACAGCATTGTGGCATGGCCATTAAAGCTTCTGCCTACAACATTGGCATCCAATATGGGTACAGGTTCAAGTTCTGCTGCTCCACTTTTGACCCAGCTACCTGCAAATTCACCTGGAAAAGCAGTGGGAAAAGACCTACACGCATGGGCCCCCAATCCCACACGACAGACTCGGCAGAGGCGTGGACTTGCCTTGACCACTGCAGCCATTTGGAGAGTGAACCAAAGGATACCACAACTCCCTGTATACATAGATTTCAAAACGCTTTGCATTAAAATGAGTCCTCTTTTAAAAATGTATGTTACAGGAACTTTTTGTCTCACCTTGGTGATATATTAGAATCACAGCAGTAATAACACTATGAGGCAAGTGCCAGCCAGTGTCCTTTACACACCCGATCACATGAAAAGCTATCAGGTAGGCACATTCCGAGCTGACAGAAAAGGAACTTGAGGCAGCACTGGGGGAGAACAACTTGACCAGTAACATTGACAGCCCGTAGGAAGGCTAGCTTCTGAACCCAGGCAGGCTGAGTCCGGGGGTAATGACCAAGAACCACCGTGCCACTTTGCCTCTCAAGTAAATGATCAATAATCTGCTTTGTGAATAGAGGCAAATCATTAAAACTTCTTTCCTCATTAGGAAAAGGAGACAGCTGGAATGGAGGATTAAGAAGCTCCTTTCTAATATATTGTATTTCTCCAAACCTCTCAAGCACAACTTTGGTTTACCTAAAGTTTAGCTTCTCCTAAAGACCTTGACTGCCATATTCTGCTATGAGTCTCACAGACACCCTCAGAAGGGTATTCAAGAAAACATCCATTTGAACACTATTTCTCTTCTTCACAGTGATGACAAAAGGCTAACTACAGACACAAATGATCCAATCTGTGGGTTTTACTCTACTTCCATGCTTCTACTTCGTCATTTTCATTTTAACAAAATTAACAGAAGATTTCAATGTGTCAGTTTTTACAATTGTAATATAGAACCCTTTATTAATCTTAAGATTCGGTTCATGCACGAGTGAAAAAAAAATGTATTAATAACAGATGCCAGTGTTGCAACACGTTCCCTCTTGACTCAATCTAAGGGTGGAATCCAATGAGTATTACACACTTGACAACGCTTTTGCCCAAGGGGGCCGTCACACCCTGGGAATTTTCTTACAGGCTGAGCCAGCTGCCTGCCTTTGTCCTTAACCTCACTTCAGCCCCACTGTCGCTAAGCGTCGGAAAGTCAGCGACAATTACAAGTTCTAATATTGTGCTCTGAACTTGTCTGACACAGTCATAGAGAGTCACCAAAGAGAGTAAGACACACAGTATCTTCAAAGGTTTCATTAGTCTTTCTTCATGAGAGTCTGTTCAAAAAGCTCTCACAAATACACCAAAATTGACCATTCCATACCTTCCCATGCTGTCCAGATCGCTCGTAACAAATGACAACGTCTTCCCACATTTCTAGCTTCTCAAATATCTGAAGTGCTGAAGTGGTACAGCCCAGCTCAAAAAGCAAGCTTGCGAGTTGGCGCTACAAAAATCAAGTTACAATAATTAACACTTCTTAACATAGATTCCTGCTCTTCTTACAGGTATATCCAGTCTGCCTTTGCAAGAGCTACTTACTATAATAAATGTACACTTTTTTAAATAATCCTTCCGTTAATCAAGATTGTGCCATGATTCAATACTATTATTTACTTAAGCAAGCTTCATTATAAGCAATGAAGAACTTAAAACAGATGCTGATCTAAATATCCAATACATCAAATTTTTTTCAAGAACTAAAAATCAAAATCGATCTTTCTTCCTGACCTAGAGAGTCTATAAATGATAATCTCCAATTAGTAAAATTAAGATCCAATAAGTCAATGTTAAAATTCTGAGCCATCAGTGAAGAGGACATAGAACCAGGCATCAGCGTTTCTGAACCTTGACCACGACAGCGTCTCTGGTTCTTTCTCAATCAGACCTACCAGAATTTATTTTAAGCATATCCAAATAAACTTAGCCACCTAACTTCCTAGTTCCTGGCAGAAAAAAAAGGAGAAAATTGGGGCAAGGAAAATGAAAGCTGAATTTTCAAAAGCAAATACACTGTCATTTATACGTGGTCCATCTTGGAGCAAAGTGCAGAAAAATGAGAAGAGCTAAAAGAGCTGATGACGTCCTTGGATAAAGTAGTTTCACAGTAGTGGCAGCTATGTTGTTATTTTTTTCTCTCTTAAGTACATTTTTACTTTACTGAAACTCAAGATATAGGATTGAAAAACTTTAAAATTATAGACTGAAATATACCTGAAAATAATACAGCACATAAGGACCAAGGACCTAAGGTTCTGCATTCCTTGAAATGCAGCAGATTTGGGCTATTCTAGAGCAGCTGACTAGAAATTTTCAAAAACTGGACAAAGCAAGCAAAAACTGGAATAAATCTTTTTTTTAAAAAACTTTTTTTAAGATTAACTTTATTTTTATCAGAAAGTCAGATATACAGACAGAAAGAGAGACAGAGAGGAAGAAATCTGTCCAATGATTCACTCCCTAAGTGGCTTGAATGGCAAAAGCTGCGCCGATCTCAAGCCAGGAGCCAGGAGCCTCTTCCAGGTCTCCCACATAGGTGCAGGGTCCCAAGACTTTGGGCCAACCTCAATTGCTTTCCCAGTTCACAAGCAGGGAGCTGGGTGGGAAGTGGAGCCGTCAGGATTAGAAACTGCACCCATATGAGATCTCGGCATATACAACAGAAGAACTTTAGCCACTAGGCTACCAGGCAGGGTCCTGGAATAAATCTTAACGGTCCTACAGCTAGTGTGGCTGAATCCATCCACTGAACAGATGAGAAAAGTTGGTGACATCCCAGAGGATATGGCACATTACTGGCATAACAAAGGCTGGATTACCACTGATGATGCAAAGAAAAAATGACTTAACTTCTTGATGAAAAAAGTTCTTAATCTAACTGCATAGGGATTCTGAAATTCAAAGCTTCTTAATCAGATAAACAGCCTAAGTTCTGTGTGAACAGTATTTAAGTTTCCTAAAGCCCATGTTCAGAAACAGAAGAAAAAAAAATCCCTCAAGACATGTTCTGTCACATTTAATGGTTCTGAAACCAAAATACTGATATACTAAAAACAAACTGTACAAAGCACTTAACAAATTGTGTACAACAAAGCTAAAAAATGCTCCCAGGGCCTTGCACAGAAGCCTAGTGGCTAAATTCCTCGCCTTGCACACCCGGAACCCATAGGGTACCTGTTCCTGTCCTGGCTGCTACATTTCCCATTCAGCTCCCTGCTAGTCGTCTGCGCAGCAGAGGACAGCCCAAAGCCTTGGGACCCTGCACCTGTGTCAGAAACCCAGAAAAAGCTCCTGGCTTCGGACTGGCTCAGCACCAAGTGCCATGGCTACTTGGGGAGTGATTCAGTGAATGGACGATCTCTCTCTCTCCTTCACTCTGAATATTTGTCTTTCCAATCAAAATAAATTAAAAAAAAATCTTTTAGAAAAAAAAGTCCCCAAAAGTTGAGTGTTAAAATTTTCTTGCTGAAAATGCCATTCTATTTGAGAACTATAGCAAAACTTTTCCTTTATCTATGATTTACTGAGACTGCTGCTACTTATAAGGCAAAAACCAACACGTAATAACTTTCTAGTTCAGTGTCTAATAATATAATCCACTCTCGGGGCAGGCGCTGTGAACAGCACATTAAGCCACCGCCTGCAACAGCAGCATCCCATACAAGCACCATTCAAGTTCATCTTGCTCCACTTGCAATTCTGCTCCCTGGCTAATCTGCCTAGAAAAGCACAGGATTGTAACTCAACTGCCAGGGCCCCTACCCCTCACACAGGAGGCTGGGTTTAGCTCCTGGCTGCAGCCAGGGCCGGCCCTGGATGCTGCAATCACCTGGGAAGCAAACCAGCAGATGGGAGATCTCTCTGTCTCTCTTTGTGTAACTCTGATTTTCAAACAGACAGATATCATTTTTCTTTTTTTAAGGGAATATCAATTACTCTAAGAAATCTTCTAATAGGGATTTTGACCCACTGGAATAATGGATTGTTATTTATAAATCTAAATCCTATGTGCATAGTCTACCAAAACACTGAGACTTAATTAATATTATAGTAGTTGCGAAATCATCTAGTAATTTCTGCTACCACTTGACTGTGCTTATTTCCTCAGTGCTACAGTTTCCTCACCTGTAAAACCAGAATACTTCGGGCCCGGCGGCGTGGCCTAGCGGCTAAAGTCCTCGCCTTGAACGCACTGGGATCCATATGGGCGCCAGTTCTAATCCCAGGAGCACAACTTCCCATCCAGCTCCCTGCTTGTGGCCTGGGAAGGCAGTCCAGGGCAGCCCAAAGCTTTTGGGCCTTGCAGCCCAAAGCTCTGCACCGTGTGGGAGACCTGGAGGAGGTTCCTGGATCCTGGCTTTGGATCAGCACAGCACTGGCCGTTGTGCTCTTAGGGAGTGAATCATCGGACGGAAGATCTTTCTATCTCTCTTCCTCTCTGTATATCTGACTTTGCAATAAAATAAATAAGTCTTAAAAAAAAAAAAAGGAATACTTCACTACGTTACTGGAATATAAGGTAGCATTTTCACATTAAATACATGTATCCTATTCTACGCACTCTAAAAGTTGCTTGCCAGTAGCTGAAGGAAAGGAGAAACAGGGATCTAGCCGACGTAAAGCGGTGCGGCTAACACGGGAAAATTACAGAGGACCTTAAGTTCCTTCCCCATAAAATTCAGAAACTGGACTGGCATCTACCTTAGTAAGTTAGCTTGAATGCAAACATTTTAGAAAACAGGAGAATCAAATTTAAATTTTGTAAAATCATGTGAACAAGGAGCCAGAATCTTCATGCCACCATGGGGCTTTGTATGCTATGCTGGGTATTCTCAAACATTCCAACATTCTGGAAGAGATTAATAAAGGACACATTACCATAAAAAGTACCAAACTAAGTCTCTTTCTCTTTTTTCCTAAAAACTTAATTAAAAGGTTCATTATTTGTCAGAGAATCCTTAGGCTTTCCCTTATATATACAGCTATTTTGAAAGCTGAAAGCATTTCAGGGTCTTTGATTACTGAATTTCCAAGATTCTTTTCAAAATGTTTTAAAAGTCTAACATCACTTTTAAAAAAAGTTTTTTTAAATTGTACACTCAGGTATACAGGGAGGAAGATCTCACATCCATTGATTCACTCCCCAAGTGGTCACACTAACATCACTTTAATATATAAACAGACATTTGAAGTTGCTGGCAATCCACAGGTAGATACTTTTATTCTTTTCACTGAAACCTTTGAAAACTCAACCATATTTTAAAATCACCCTTTCCTAACATTTTTAGATTTAAGTATCTGCCACACCCAATGAGAGCCAAAGTACCTGAATGGCCCAGTGAGGTGGCACTTGACAGCAGTAGAAAATCTTCCAACGCTCCAATACAGAAGTGGTCTCATCTTCAAATTGGTCTGCAAGAGCCTGAAATATAATCACAACATAATCAGAATCTGTCACTAAGATTCTTACTGTAAAAGTTTACAAATGAACACATAAGCAAGAACTCAAGTCATGGGGCAGGAGTCACGGTACAGAGGCTTACACCAACACCTGCTACACCAGCATCCTGCCAACGTTTCTGCGAAAGCATTAAAAGATGGTGCTATTCCTTCGACTCCTGCAATCCATGCGGGAGACCCAGAAGAAGCTCCTGGCTTCAGCACGGCCTAGCCCCAACTGGTGGCCATCTAGAGAGTTAACCCATAGATGGAAAATATCTCTCTCTGTATGTAACTCCCACTTTCAAGTAACTAAATATAAGTTACTTGATATGTGTATTTATACATATAAAAAATAAGTAATAATAAAAGAACTCCAGTCATTTTGGAGAAGGTAATAAATATGTGGGTTTTCTCCTGAATTTCTTTAAATTTATTTTTAAAAAAAAATTTTTTTAAATGCAGCCGGTGTGGGCTACAAACACAGAGAAAAAAAAATGCCCAGGCTAGCTGCCTGGCTTGTTTGGTTTATGCTGTGATTAAATGCTGCACTGAATCCAATAAAAATGTATAAGCATTAGCTGTTAATCAAAAAATTGAAAACAATCAAAGAAAAAAGGCTGATTAAAAAGGCTGACTAAAAAAATCTACCTATTTCAGATTTATTTGAAATAGTGTCACAATAACTTATCTTCCTAATTTTTATTTATTTATTTTTAAGGATATATTTCTTTTTATTGGAAAGGCAGATATACAGAGAGGAGGAGAAACAGAGAGGAAGATCTCCTGTCCATTGATTCACTCCCTAAACAACTGCAAAGGCTGGAGCTGCGCCAATCCGAAGTCGGAAGCCAGGAACCTCTTCGGGCACTACACGTGGGTGCAGGGTCCCGAGGCTTTGGACCATCCTCTAACTGCTTTCCCAGGTCACAAGCAGGGAGCTGGATGGGAAGTGGGGCCTCCGGGATTTAAAAAGGTGCCCATATGGGATTCCAGTGCATTCAAGGTGAGGACTCTAACCTCTGGGCTACCGTGCTGGGCCTCTTGTCTAATTTTTAATCTATATTTTTATGTTCATCTTGCTTGACTGATTTATTGTTTGAAAGGCAGATTTTACAGAGAGAGAAAGAGAGTTAGAAAACTCCCATCCACTGGTTCACTCCCCTAAAGGCCACAATGGCTGGATCCAAGCTGTTCTGAAGCCAGGAGCCTGGAGTCTCCTCTGGTTCTCCCACATGCCCAAAAACTTGGGCTACTCGCTGCTACCCAACTAAGTCACAAGCAGAGAGACGGATGGGAAATAGAACAGCCAGGACAGAGGCAGTGTTCATACTGGATGCTGCCACCACAGAGTAGATGATTGGCCTGCAGTGCCACTGTGCCAGCCTCTGTTATCTTACTTCTAAATTCCTTTCACATCTTTAGTTGATCAAAAAAATAAATGAATAAAGTATATTTAGATGCAGAGAAAATAAAATCATCTTTGACATAAATACCTAAATTAAAACTTACCAGGAAAACATTTTTTCTTTAAAATCAAGAGTTCCTACAATAATTTTGTCAAAGAACCAGTCTTATTGATACGCCAGTGCACTTCTCCTAAGGCAAACCGTTCACTGGCATGCCTACCAGATGACTGCAATGCCACTCCGACAATGGCACTTCCTAATAATTATCAGAGAAAAATCTTAGGATTTACGACTTCTCAGGACTAAAATTTAGGATTTCTCAGGACTAAGTCGGAGGAAAAGAGATGTCAGAGAGCAAACCCACTCGCACCACAGCAGCAGAGCTGTACACCTGGCATTCACTCGGCTAGGCCCCCCGAACACCACAGTGCACTGCAGGCACCGAGGAATCCTTCCAGACTTCTGAAACTCCTCTCAGCATCAAAGTGAATACAGACACACTCGGAAACTCCTGCACGGACACCTGCACGGCAGTACCTGCCCCTTCATCCTCCAGTTACTGCGAAGTGTGTGCCTGTGTCTGATACACTTGGACCTCTTAACATAGGCTACCACGCCTTTTCTTCATAAAGTAGTACCAAAGTTGATTTTTACTACTCAATTGGTCTTCATAAACTCGTCTTTAAAAAAAACAGATTTATTTATTTTTATTTGAAAGGCACATTTATAGAGAAGAGAGATAGAGAAAGATCTTCCATCTACTGGTTCACTCCCCAAATGATCACAACAGTTTGAGCTGAGCTGATCCAAAGCCAGGAGCCGAGAGTTCTTCAGGGTATCCCAAATGAGTGAAGGGTCCACACTGCTTTCCCAGGCTGTTAGAAGGGAGCTGGATCGGAAGTAGAGCAGCCAGGACTAAAACCAGTGCCCATATGGGATCTGGTGCCTACACATGAGGATTAACCAACTGAGCCCCACGTCAGCCCCACAAACTTAGCTTAACTAGAAACTGCTGATATGTGCACACTGGGCTATGTAACAAATGTCTTTGTACCACCATAGGATGATAAGGCTCCCTGTTGGCAATTTATTTTGCAAAACTTCAGGACAAAACAAAGGACAGCTTGTGCTATACTTGTATTTGTTAGATAAATTTGAAATCTTATTTGCGAAGATGATTTTTAAAATTGAAAATCTCAAAGCAAAGCGAGAGAAAGCAACTAAAACTTCTTCAGGACAAAAGAAATGCGATCGCTGACACTGTCATGCAGTGGGTAAAGCTGTCTCTTGCCACACTGACATCATACAGCATCCTTCCTAGAGTGCCAGCTCACATCCGGGCCACTCCATTTCCAGCCTAGTTCCTTATCAACACATGTGGGAAAGCAAGAGAGGCTGGTCCAGCCCCGGTGCCCTTGCCACCTGTGAGGGAGATCAAGCCAGAGTTCCTAGCTCCTGGCTTCCACCTGGTCCAGTCCTGAGTGTTGTAGCATTCGGGGAGAAAATAAACACATATAACCTAATTCTTCTTTGTAATTCTTCTTTCAAATAAACACCTTTATTAAAAAAAAGGTGGAGGGGATGAAAGGAGTGTAACATATCACAGACCAAGTCCAAGACAGGAGATGCCAGGTTCTAAGCAGAGGAAGCGCCTCCCCGAGGGATACTCAAACGCAGGCGACGCTGCTCGTCTACGAGCCCTGGAGTGAGCCCAGGTGCGAGAAGGCACTCACTACACATCACTGCCTTGGCAAGCCAAGATTTTAGTCAAATCAGAACAAACTGAGAAACATTAGACCAGCTGGGTCAAAATATTTGTAAAGTTTTCTGGCCTTACTTCACAGAAACATAACAGTAAAAACATTGTGTGTTTCTGCCCGACACTGCTTAGTTATGACAAGAGAGGCGAGAACAATGACCTCTGGCTGCATACAGACATTCACAACACATACACGCAGACCTCGATGCAGTACCCACGCACAGGGTGGCAGGTTCCTTTAATCAATGCCATTTTTAGAAAGAAAGGTAACTAACGCTCATTTGATATAAAAACATCAAATGGTACATCATAAAATCTGCTTTTACTAATTCCTAAGTACTACAAAAGATTTTATTTTAAAATAAAACTAAAGTCGTTTACTATAGTTGCTGTAACTACGAAAAACATTACTTATCCAGTATTTCCAGACTTGCTAACTAGCTAACAAGTGTTTACGTATTTCAGAAACTCCTAGATACTTCTGGAAGATAATGTCTTGGATTCTCTGACACGCTCCAAAATAGGAAAGACCAGAGGAGACAGCAGGGTCCCAAAGCCTTGGGCTGTCCTCGACTGCTTTCCCAGGCCACAGGCAGGGAGCTGGATGGGAAGCAGGGCTGCCGGGATTAGAACCGGCGCCCATATGGGATCCTGGGCGTGCAAGGCGAGGACCTTAATCACTGTGCCATCGCGCCGGGCCCATCAAATAAATAAATTTTTTAAAAAGACTTGCAAATAAAAATTTCTAAAAACAAAAACAAACAAGGGCCCAGTGAGGTAGCCTAGTTGCTAAATCCTCACCTTTTATGCACTGGGATCTCATATAAGTCCAGATTCATGTCCCAGTTGCTCCACCTCCCATCCAGCTCCTACTTGTGGCCTGGGATAACAATGGAGGATGATGTGAAACCTTTGGACCCTGCACCCATTTGGACGACTGGCAGGAGGCTCCTGGCTCCCAGCTTCGAATTGGCTCAGGTCTGCCCATTGTGGCCACTTGGAGAGTGAATAAGCACATGGAAAGTATTTCTCTCTGTATCTTCTTCTCTGTATATCTGTCTTTCCAATAAAAATAAACAAATCTTTTAAAAAAAATAGATTAGAAATACAAGCTCTTGTGACTTTCCTACATCTGACTGACCTACAACTTTCTGCCAAAATTTCTCCAGGGAGCTTGCTCAAAGTTTAAGAAATTACTTAAAAGTTCCTTTATAGAATCAGCTATTAAGTGATTAGGAAATGAGAGTGACTTGACCTGTCTATAATCTGAAAATATTCTGAAGTACAAAGATTCCCAAATATTTGATTAAAAGCTAACTGAGCATTTTGAATTTCTAGTGTCATCCTATCTGAGACACCTAAAGGAGCTGAGTCTACCCGACACAGGAGAACAGAGCAGGCAGGCCGGCACGGACACGTGGGTTGAAAATTCCGCCAATCCTGCATCCTAACTCCGTCCCCTCAGCTGTCCTGTGATGTGCCCACCTTCCCAGGAGCCACCTGTGCCTCATACAGGACCAGGAAGGAGGAGATGCCACAGCAGTCACAGTGAAGTTGAAGGCCACGTGTTAATGATGAGAATAACAGGAAAAGCTTCATGAGCAGTGGACTCCACCAACCTCAAACCTGTGTGCTTATTAAGGCACCACCCTCTACCCCTTTTTATTACCATTTCTTAAACTTATTTTATTGGAACAAGTATAAAAACATCAGGGAACACATATGTGACTGTTACATGCTATGAGGAATCAGTGTCAAGAAAGTGTATCTACTGCACTACTGATAAAAGAGATCCATTAGCAAAATGTCTGCTTT